TTGTAATCCAACTAGCATATGAATATCCTTCCAATACTGATGGATATCCATTATAGCAAAGACTATAGTTGATTGTTTTCTTTAAATACCTCGGTACTTGATTTGTGGCTTGCTAATGCAAAGTACCTAGATTACTTGTATACCTACTTAACTTTTTAATAGTAAATGCTATATCTGACCTTGTACACGTCATTACATACATTAAGCAACCAATCACTTTTGTATATTTTAACTGATCAATAGCCTTGCTAGCATTATATATTAATTTATTTTGAGGCTCCATAGGTGTAGATATTGGTATACAATCACTAAGTTCAAACCTTTTAAGTACCTTTTCAATGTACTGCAATTATGACAAAGTTATACTATTTTTATCTTGAAATATTTTAATTCTTAAGATGACATCTGCTACACCCATATCTTTCATTGCAAAGTTATTTGACAAAAACTTCTTTGTTTCCTTTACTTGTTCTAAATCCTTGTCAAAAATTAGCATGTCATCCATATATAAGCAAATTATAATACCTTTTCCATTTTGGAATTTGCTATATATGTATTTATTGGATTCATTTATTTTAAAACCATTGGCTAAAACAACTTCATCAAAGTTTTGATGCCATTGGTTTTGGCGCTTGTTTAAGCCCATACAATGACTTGACAAGCTAACAAACCTTATGCTCTTATCCCTGAACAATAAACCCTTTCGATTATGTCATATAGACTTCTTCTTCTAATTCACCATTTAAGAATATTGTCTTGACATTCATTTAATGAATAACCAACTTATAAATTGATGCAAGGGAAATTAGAATTCTAATTGTATTAATTCTAGCTACTGAAGCATAAGTATAAAAGTAATCAAACTATTGCTTCTATATAAAACCTTTGGCAACTAATCTTGCTTTGAATTTGTCCATGGTTCCATTCACCTTTATTTTCCTTTTGAAAATGCATTTATTGTTCCAAAATCCAAGTATTGTTTCCCATTATTGAGTCCATCTCATCATCGATTACTTTTTTTCAAAATGCATAATCTTGAGACTTCATTACGTTATCATATGTAATAGGGTCTGATTCTAAATTAAAACAATAAAGAATTTTATTATCAATATTTTCTCTTGTTCCTTTTACAAGGAACATATAAAAGTTTGTACCAAAATCTTTTACTTTTCTAGCTCTTTTTTTTTCTTTATTTTTGGACTAGATTTATCATTATTTTCATTTTGTTCCAATGGAATGTCATTTGATTAAATTGATTGTAATGGTTGTAGTTTTCTTGACACATACATGAATATATTTTCATCAAATATTGCATCTCTTGATTCAATAACAATGTTGACTAGATTTGAATCATTTGGTTCAACTACCATGAACTTATCTACTTTACTATATTGTGCATATCCTATGAATATGCATTCTATTCCTTTTTCACCTAATTTCTTTTTTTTGGGTTTCATAACTTTAACTATAACTCTACAACCCCAAAGCTTCTAATAGCTAAGGTTTGGTCTCTTTTTCTTTCATTGTTCATATGGGGTTATCTTAGTTTTCATTTTAGAAACTCTATTTAATTTGTGACAAGCTGTTAATAAAATTTCTCCCCAAAAATCTTTTTTTAAGACCTAAGTATAATAACATAGTATTTACCATTTTAGTTAAGACCTTATTTTTCCTTTCTGCTACACCATTATGTTATGGTGTATGAGGTACTAAAATATAATAGACTATCCCAATGGAGGCAAAATAATTTGGACTATAATATTCTCCACCTATATCCAACCTTAAGCACTTGATAAAAGATTCACATTGTAATTCTACTTCTATTTTATAAACCTTAAATTTATCAAGCACTTCATCTTTAGAATGTTGTAAATATACATAGCAATATTTAGAGAAATTATTAATGAATGTGACAAAATATTCTTTCCAACTAATGTAGGTGCACTACGCATATCACACACATCACTGTGTATTAGTTCAAGTAATTTAGTATTTCTTTTAAATTTAAGAAAAGGATTTTTAGTTTTTTTTGTTAGCATGCATGCATTGCATTTATCAATATTTTGATTAAAATTTGGAATTAAGTCCATTTTATACATATCATCCAATCTTTTATAATTTAAATGTCCTAATCTATAATACTATAAATAAGAGGATTTAATCATATAAACAGAAACAACAGTCTTATTCTTATTATTATTAACAATATTTAGTTTGAACATTTCCTAACACATATAACCTTTCCCAACAAATAGTTCTCCCTTGGATAGAATGAATTTATCTGCCTTAAATACAAGCTTGAAACCAAATTTATTCAATAGACTTCCAGATACTAAATTTTTCTTAACTTTGGAACATAGCAAACATCTTTCAAAGATAAAATTTTTCCAAAAATGAACTCAAGTTCAATAGACCCTTTCCCTTTAATGGTTGTTGTAGAAGAATTTTTAATATACGGGGAAATTTTCATGGTCACTTGGAGCTAAATTCTTGAACAGATTTGTTGCTCCTGAATCAATCCACCAATCATCATTTTCTTCAAACACTTAATTTTAGAAATCATAGCTACAAAATTTTCAAAAGCAACACCATTTGAAGAAGTAATTTTCTTCTTCAATAATCGACATTCATTTTTAAAAAGTGTTGGTTTTTTGCAATGGAAGCATGTGCTTTTGTTTTTTCTTTGGAATTTCGAACCATTAGCAATCTGCTTGAACTTTTTTTTGGCAAGTTTAGTAGTCTATCCTTCCTCCACAACATGTACTTTGGTTCCACCAAAAATAATAACTTGTTTTTGTTTCCTGTATTCCTCTTTGATTAGAAGATGATTTGCCAAAGCCTCAAGAATTATTTCTTCTTTTTTGTGTTTTAGATTTCTTTTAAAGTTTTTCCATGTGGACAAAGTTTGTCTGTAATGGAGGATACAACTATAGTTTCATCTATTTCCATTTTATATTGTTTAAACTGATTAAACATTCCTTTAACTTCTTGTAATTGTTCTATAACAAAACGCTTATCAACCATTTGATAATTATTAAAGTAACTAACAAGAAATTTCTTGCTTGTTGCATCTTTTATCATGTACCTGGCTTTCAATTTGTCTTATAATTCTTTTACAATAGCCTCATTCTGGTATGTGTCAAATAAGCCATTAGTCAAACTATTCAAGATGCAACCTTTACACATATAATCGGTATTGTTCCATTTCTCTCTCTTCGGTTTCGACAACAGACTGATTTCACCTTCTTCTGGTTTAGATGTAGTTAAGACATAAACAACCTTCAAGGTTGATAGTAAGAAATGCATCTTCTTTTGTCATTTTAGAAAGTTGCTACCATCAAACCGGTCCAATCACAAAGTTAGAAGTCAATTCTCTTAGTGTTCCACTTGCAGCAGCCATTGTTAAAATAAGATAAAACTTTAATATTGTTAGAACATCAAACTGGAAAATACTAAAATAGCTTCAAGGCATGTAACAATGCCAATGTCCTTAAGCTTTTATTCGCCTCCACTAATGGTGTGCAAAGGGGTTACAAGCGATAAACCTTAAGGATAAAATAAAGCCCAATGATTGACTGCATTCTGCACTGACAAAGTCAATCCACCGAGCATTCACTGATGAATAGCAAGATTATCTAGTCTTTTCTATAATTTTCTATACTAAAATGGCATGGAAGAAAATCTGAAGAATTTTGAAAAGAAAGGAGGAATGTTCGTTTTGTTGTTTCTATGTCTTTTCTGTTTCATAGGAGGGTTTTACTTAAAAGGCAACAAAGGCAGTTTTCCAACAGACACAATTGTATCTGTTTAAGACAAATGGTTTTTATCTGTTTTTAACTATTAAATAGACATAATTATGTCTTGTTTCAGACAGAATCTGTTTGTTTCTATTTCCAACGGTTATTATCCGTTAAAAATATATATTGAAAAATATTTTTTATTTTTCTGCAAGTGTCAAGTGTTATTATAAATAATTAAATATTAAATTTAATTAATTTCAAACCCACTCAAGCCCAAAAAGCCCATCCATGGTCCATTTTCTATTAAAGTCCTATTGTAATGGATTTATGCTCCTTTTTGTTAAATGACTCATTTTCCTTTTTTTTTTTGTCCAATGTGGGAAATATCCAACATGAGGCACGTTTAGTTTTTTTTTTTCCTTCTTTTTCGTTAAACATGGTCAATTTATAGGAAATGGAACTTAAATTCAATTAAAGGATTTGAGGTTTCTTTGGCATTTTCAAATTTTTGTTTTAGAAGATTCGTTTCTATGTGTGTGTGTGTATATATATATTTGAAAAAAAAATTCAAAACTTTACTTTTTTTGAAAGAGAAATTATGTACTAACTAATGAGTTAAATACTCGTTTTTATATTTTATTACTTTTGAAAATTTTGAAATCAGATAAGACTATGATAAATTTAATCATTGAATGTGAGCTTAGCTTAAGGATTTTGTTTTGGGCATCCTATGGATTATTATAAACTCCCCTTTCTATCGTTTCTTCTTTAAATTTCTATCTCTATCCTTGCAAAATTGTTAATTTACTTGCACGCATTATGGTGAACTTTGATGTCTATATTTTGATTTTTTTTTTAAAATTGAGAGAATGGGGATTCGAACCCTACTCTTTAGGCAAGAGATTATGCACCAACTAATGAGCCAAATACCCGAATGTAATATATTTTGTTTAATAAATGATTTTTTCATTGGTTGCTTTTATTTTATTGTTTCTATTTGATAACAGTTTAATTTGACCTGAACCCTAAAGGATATTAGTTGAAACAATTTTCAAGATTTAGTAGTTTGCTCTTATGAGAGGAATTTAGCCAAAGCTTTCCTTCCAATCTTTCATCCCTTTGAATTCCTTGATATGTAACTTGAAAAAACAGTCCTGTATGCATGAGAATCTCACTTACCAGCATACCACAGAGAAGGTAAAGAAAGCAAAATACCAAAAGAAAACAGCAAAACCTTATCAATTCTGCACCTTACGAAAATTTTAAATCAAACAAGTCTGACCTTATGATATATGTGCTGAGTTTCACTATTAGACAGCTTACCCCAGGAACATTGTAGACTAACCAAATACATTAACATAGTTTCATTTTAGTTGGCAATCACAACAGATAACCCAACTTCTCGGAGCACACAGCAGATGTATATATCAAAGGCAAATCTTCTGACATCTTCTATCCTGTTCTTAATAGTTCAAAACTACTAATTTTGCTGTCTATTTTGCATGGAAAGGCAAGCAAGAATAAGAATATTTACCATATCTGTGCAAACAATTCTCTGCATCTGATATAGCAATACCCTCTCTACTCTGTCGTTATTGTACATCGAGATAGATGGGCTCATGTATTACTGCTTTTACAACATCGATCATTTCATGTGAGCTAAAACCATCATCCTTCAAGTAAAATAGATGCAAGACTTTGCTCATTTTCCAAAACAATTCCTTGCAAGCTCTTGGAATGATGCTGCCATTTTCCTGCAACACTAATCTAAGCAGTTCCCTCCTCCTGTCATGCACTAAATGCTTCATTTCTTTATTTATATCTTCAGTAACAGCACTGGTACCATGAATCATGTGCAAAGACACAGCATTCAGTTTTCCTTCCATAGATTCCCTCTGCAACGTATCAGCCATAAGTAAATAATTCAAACCGCCATTTCAGATGAGACTAGCAGTTATTGGTGTTGTTTTTCCGAAAAGAAGCTCTACCTTAAAGGAGTGAATATCATTGAGAAGACGCCCACAAGTGCTTACAAGCTTGAATAGAAGATTGTATTCAGGGCTTTTAATAACACCCTCCGAAAGGCTAGCCCCAACCAAATACAGGGCTGGGAGGATTATTGGTCCCAAGGCAAATGATACATAACCATTTGTCATGTATTCATCCACAGTTGGCACTGACTTGTTCTTCAACCACTGGGCTTCCTGCAACATAGACCTAAGCAAATCCAGCCACTGCAACATAAACATCGTTCATATCAACTTTGATTGTATACAAAGTTTCTTAGATACTAATAATGTCCTAGAATTTCAGATGTATTTCATATAACTTGCTATTCAGGACGAGGTGTTCTGAAGAATGTGATGACAATCAGAAAAGATTCTATTAGTCACTGCTAATATGAGGAGTAAAATAAAGATAAAATCTTACAATCTCAGTAACATGAGTCTTCACATTGCGTCCTTGCCATGCAATTGCTTTCTCCCCAATCTCAGATATTGTGCTGCGAAGTGCTAAAAATAGGATTTCAACTTGCTCAGAACAACACTGGATGCTGACATCTACATCATGCCTGTGTTTCATTTTCTTATAAGCCAAACCTAATCAAATAATTTTTTTTTTTAAAAAAAAAAGAAAAAAAAGAGGGAGAAGAGCATACTTCTCAACCAATTGGATTAGGTTTAACAGTTCATCTTCAGAACCTCCAACATCAAAGAAGTCATCCACCACGGTAGTAAGCACACCATTTTTTGCCCATGATATGCGAGCGTCAGATAGTTCGGGAGAGAATATGGTTGCAGCTGCCGAGAAGTAACAGTAAGCCAGTTTCTGCCTGGCAAACTTCAGCTTGTCCAATCTATTTTCTTGAACCCACCTGTTTCATATGAGGGATATCATGCAATAATTTCAGAAGCACCTGTTAAGGTTGCCTACCATAGTTAAGGATGAGGTAACTCCCACGACTAGGGACGATGATGGATGTATAAGAGACCAACATCACATCAACACTAGAAACATAGACCACAGCCAAGGTACATCTTTATGACTCAAAAGAATGAAAAATAAGAATATTGTTCCCAGCTGAGTTTACCAGCTTCTGTTTAACGATGCTTGACTATGATCTTATGCTCCATGGGAATTCTTTTAGTGCATCATGGTTTATTTCTTTGCAAGAACATTTACCTCTCAAGTTGTTTGAGTTCTTCACGATATATTGATTGACAGGCATTGAAGTCCTCCACTGCTAGTCTTAGGAGATCTTTGTCGCCAATACTCGAAGAACTAGCATATGAAGCATACAGAATAAGATGCTAACCAGGCATACATTAGTATGTATTTAAAGAAAAACAATTAATAAAAGAAATCAACTACCAAAGGAGTACCAATATGAAGTTTTAAGCATCCTTATATTATCTACAGCATAATTCTCTATGTTTCTCCGGTGTACTAAGCGCTCCAAACTTGCATAGTGGGGAAATTCAAGAGCATCATTCACCTGAAAATTATAAAAGGCAGT